AAATCATAGTTGCAAGCAATGATCAGAAACGAGCAACTATATTTTATTGGATGTTTGATTGCTTTAATAATGAGCAACCACTATTTAAGTCCAATCACAATTGTGATACCCAGTCAAACCGAAGGAAAAGGAAACATAGACACAATCGGCCGACCAGCCTATCAAACCATACTTGCTGCCATCTACTAATTAGCATGACGTTGCGGTTGTGTCGCATGGAATCAATGGAATATCATAGGTCAAGCGAATTAAATAGCAATTTTGAAGAAACAAGAAATAGTAAATTGGCGATCGCCTTAGTTTTAATACAAATTATCAAGATCTTCAACCTGGGAAATGCCATAGCTCCTGTTATTAACAGTTTAAAAATAAGAAGATGATTTGTCAGCTCAAAGATCAAATTCTTTTAAAATAGTTCGCATTTATGTTAATACCGCTTTCTATCTCGAATGAACTTCGCGTCTGGATAGGGGAAATGCAACTCTTCAAATATCCTGGTTCATAAAGCATTCGATCAATGGCATTGAACAATTCTTGTACATGCTGCGACCGCCACTTATCGATCTCCTACAAAATCAAAACGTAGCTGATACGTTAAGAATCAATTAAAGAAAATTAAAGAGTTACATGAGACTTACACATCCTTCATCTCCCCAGTCCGACGAGGTAAGGCTATTCATATCAGTGGGATTGGTCCCAAAGGAATAGCCTTCGGGGGAGGAGGTACTGGCATCAAAATACCCATCAAGTGGCGTAGACGGAGGTGGTTTAGGTTTTCGTTTACCAGTGTTCTGCAAAATGTGAGAATCGCCACCAGGACCGAGAAGGATCTTTGCGGGGTCTGTACCTCTTGATTTTGCTAACTCTCCAATTAGAATATTTGGCTTGATTTCCTTCGCTTTAAACAGCATCGCTAATGCCGACTGATAAGAGGATTTCCGTGAGGGTAGACTCAAAATACTGTCATCTAAGGATTCATTATGCTGGATGTTTTTTAAGTAATAAAGAATAGAATACGTACTAGTGATTTTTTCCAAAAAAACTCCTTTGTATGAAAGTGCTGAGAGTTTCCTTGCAATTGTGTCGGCATCCCGCTACTATTTAAAACCGGCATGCGCGCTAAACTGTGAGAATACAAGGAGCATGTGAAACACCGTTTACGCCAAAAAATACCTTATATTCAAGTAACATGGAATGAGTTAGATGACAATGAGGATATAGAGATTGAAAGACCGCAAGACCATTAGTGTTTTTACAGTTTATCAAAGCCCACAAAATTTCACTTTAAGAGTAAGAAAAGTCCATCTTACCAAGAACACAAATCAGCTTATACATATTGAATATACACATGCAAATTAGCACACAAACTCGCCCTCAAGACATCCCAGACCAACACACCACCCTACTTAGCCCACACACAGATCAAATACTAACCTCTAATTTGTTCAACGCGGCTTTGCAATGTAACTACTCTTTTATTCATTACAAGTTTAAATTAAAGTAATTTTGTAAGTGTTCTATAGCAATTAAAAATGAATTAAAGAAGTTTTGTCTTAAAAAATTTGTATATATTTGTACTAAATACTCACAGCTTAAAGTAATTCATTGTGAATAATTGGATTAGCCACCCATCGAGAACCAATATTCACAGCAATAAAATAAGCGTCACTGCTATACACCTCATTGTTTGCGTATATTTTATTGAAAATCGCTTGCTATAACAATCCATTGACATCAGCGCGCCAACGTATTTTCATACTACCTTTGACACCAATCTTTTCCATTACCGTTATTTATAATGCTGACCGTACGAGAACGTTATAATAAGCTTCTGTGTATTTGGAGGATAGATGTTCCAATCGCAGTATAACAATCAGTTTTTGTTCAGAAGAAGTAAATTTAACTGGTCCAATGTTCCAAGCACTATGAGAACCTGTTTGTCTTTTTTACGAGCTGTACCATACT